TTTGTAGCCTGGGACAGAATTTCCTTCCTTTTTAAGGCTGGGTCATATTCGACATTTTGTTAATCCATTCATCTGTCAACAGTCATTTGGGTTGTTTCCATCTTTTTTCTTATCTAGACCTTTCTTTTTTGGCACATGGGCCCAACCATACCCAGAAACTATTCTCTCCCACAAAACCGATACTTTATACTTGAACTTCGTTCAGAATTAAAATAAGGCTTTTAAACAGAAATCTTTTTTGTCATTTGTAAATGGTAGTTCTTCGCTCCTGAGAAGTACTTGGAGTAGGCAGTGAGCTAACCCACAGCATCATGTGCCTGGCACATAGTATGCACTCTGCAGAAGCAAGTCCTTGAGAAGTCTGGGAAGAATTAGGAAAGAAGAAAGGGGGTAGAATGAAGGGACTGGTTTCAGAGGTTGGCTTAGAACAGGGGAGACTTGTATGTGATAGGAGGCCCTGGCTCATTTCTCCTGCTGTCTTGGGTTGCTCACAGCTAAGCCCGGTGCCACTCTGACCTACAACTCTGCCCTCCTCCATGTTCCTGGATCAGTTTCAACGGGAGCAGCAGATCACAAGCTACGGCTTGTGCAACTGAGCACCATTCATTTCCTCAGGCCCCAGTCCTAGGTCCCAGGGATGCCACAGGCTGGACTTCCGTGCCCAAGTCACAGCTCCCCCAGTCCCTTGGACTCCAGTTCCTAGAACTGGGCTTATGTTAGGTTCCCAACAGCGCACACCTCCTGAGGACCGGTACTGGCCCTGTCTACCACCCGGGATCATCTGCCCATGTTTCCTACTGGTATGTACTGGTATGTCACATCTGTCTGAAATCCAGGTGGAGCCCACAGTCTCCTTTTGGAAATCCCTCACATCAGCTGCTTCCAGAACCATCACAGAACTTGCCACATCCTCTGTACCCTGGGCCTTGCCCATGAGCTGATCCTCTGCTCCCTTGTCCACCTCAGACCACTCCTCAGGGCTGAGCTGTAGTGAGAGGCCCCCTTGCGACAATGCTGGGTTCAGTTATATTGAACTGACATTTCTGAACACAGCATCTAAGCTCAGTGCTAGGCAATATAAAGATGGATAAGATATGTCCCAACCTTCCCGGTTTTAAAGTGCCTTTAAAAACATCTGCACAGGACCATGGTTCAAGGATAAAGGTTAGGCCTTGAAGATGAAAAGACACCATCTCTTTGGAGATAGGAGAAAAGAATACACAGGCCCAGCCCCTTCTCGGGATAAGTGACGCAAATGGGTATGAAGCCTTCAGCTGAGTGGAAAAGGTTTGGAACAAAACCCAAGGGGGCCTTAAGGAGGACAGTGGCAGAAAGACCAGGCATGACCGAGGAACAGCTGAGGCCCAGCTGAGATCAGATATGTGATCTTATGAATGTGGGAGGTTTATCACTTCTTTCTCCCAAGCAATGCTCAGCAGTTCGGAGCAAGACAGGGGGAAGGGAGGGCAGAGCTAAGGACTGGCCAGGGGCTCACAGCTGACCGACAAGTCTGGGGTGTTTATAAACACATGGCTAAGACCCTGGACCGTGACTGAGTGGACAGGAATCCAGGTGAGGCCAGAACAATGGAGTGGGGTTGGAGGCCACGGAATCAGTGACCAGGAAGATGAGGCCAACGAGCAGGGTCAGAGGGCATGAGGGAAGCGTGGAGAGAGCATCATGGAGGATGGCAGTCCATCCCCTGCTCTGGAGACCACAGACTCACACCATGTTTGTGTCTTCTTTCCTTCCTCCCTCCCACTCGCTGCCCCTTCCACAGATACTATGCGTTATCTGTTTCCAACGCGCTAATCGCAGGACAGCCTAGACGTGAGCCCTTGCCTGGTAGTCCGGAGTCTGGTGCAGAAGAGAGACGCTTCACCTCCCCACACCCAGTGCAGCAGGCGTCCTGTGGGGTGCACAGACAGGGTGCCATGGGGACACCCCGACACACGACCCACACTGGGAGTTTGCAGAAGGCTTTCCAAGAGGAAGTGATGTCTGAGCCGGGACCTCAAAGACAAGAGGAAGTTAAGCAGACAGAAGGGTGGGGGGAGTGTAGCACTGCAGGCTGACGCCTCTCCTCACCGCCCACCTGGTAGAAGCTGGCTTTCACTTGGCTGGACCTGCTTTCAGATAGCACCACTCATCTCCTCACCAGACCTCATCTTCGCGGGGCCCACAGAGCCCCTAAACTTCCCCTAACTCGATGTCCCCTCTTGCTTTTCTCCCTCCTCTCTGACCTCCCTTCTCTGCTCCCCCGCTTCCTGCCCTCCCCTGCCCCCCAAATATAGGTGTCGGTGTCCTCTTCAAGGCTGTGACCACACGTCTTGCTCTCCAGCATCTCTCTCTTCTTCCATAATCGTGTCAACATCCATATTTTCCTCTCCGGCCCCGGCCTCCCTCAAGGACCCAGCACCATGTTTTCAACAGCCACAGACATCTCATGGTCTCCTCCATCACTCTTCAAAACTCTTGATTTTATTGCCTTTCGCCTCATGACGGTATCTCTGTGGTGGCTCCGGCCTTACCCCTTCCTTTCCCGGATGCGTGGTCTGGGGTCTCGTTAATCGTCACCTCCGAGGCCATCTGGCTCCCCCCGCCCCCACACCCCACAGTCACCTGGCCTGTACATGCTCCCTAACCGCCGCGTACCTGTGCTGCACACACAGGAGGGGGCATTTCCTGCTCCGCTCCCAGACAGCTCTGAGCAGGCCTGCTTCTGGAGAGAGCTCCTGAGTGAGTGCCCCGTTGTATGTGAGAGGAAGCCCAGCTCCTTAGATGGGCTTCCAGGCCTCAGTCTGGCCTCAGAGCATCTCCATCTATCGCCTCTCATGGCCTTTGCTTCAGAGGAAGTGCCCTACAGGCGCCATGTTGCCACTTCCTTGCCAGCTCACATGGGCCTCTGGTTCAATGCCCTTGCCTCCAAGTGCCCACTGTCCAAATCCTCAGCAAAGCTCATCTCAAATACCTCTGGTTCAAAGAAACCGCCTGTGGTTTTTTCCGTCAGAGGAAACGTCTCCTCCCTGTCTACACCTCTCTATTGGAACCCATCACTGTCTGCCTTGTATTTTAGTTAGTTGTGTGCGTCTCCCCTTCCCCAGCATATCCGAAGGCAGGCCTTGAGGTCAGGGGTTCAGATTTCTTTATCTCCGTATATAGGTTCAACATGGGGAACTGGTACATCCTGGGTACTCTGTCCGGAGGTGTGGAGTAAAGGCGTGAATGTGGTTTCAGTAAGGCCATTTTAAAAAAATGCAAAAATAAGTCTTTCCTGATTTCACTCTTAGAAAACTAACCTACGAAGTATCATAACATAATAATCAGAGCAAGAACAGAGATCGTAGATATTATTCTATTATTCTGTCTCCTTCAACCTTCACAAGTCATTCTGAGTCATGTCATGTCCCTCATCTCTGTCATGGGGATGATTCTGGCCAGACATTGTCTTTGGTAAAAATGTTCTCCAGGTTATGAGACATCAGGTCACATATGCCATGTAACGTAGTCTCTAGTTAAAGGAAAGCTCATGGGTTAGCGGGGACCTCCGTTTTCACATTTGTGTCTCTCAACACCAGCTGAAGGTCCTGTTTCTGTTTGCTCCATGCATGTTTCCAATTCGGTGAGCAGAACCGTGACTTTGCTGATAAAAAAAAGCATGCCTGCCCAGTCCTGCCACAGTTGTAGAGATGTGGGAAGGCAGGTCCCTACATGACCCGTCGAACAGTGGCCCTACCATTGTGGAGATTCTGGGGTTAGGCTTGTAAAAGTAAAAAAAAAAAAAAAGAGAGATTTTTGTTCTTTCAAAAACTTCCTATAACCCTGATCCCCTGTATGCATAGAGCGAGCAGGTTGCTTTTCATTCCAGTTAGGACAGTGGTGAGAGGCAAGACTCAAACAGAAACAAGAAATATTTAGATTCGTTGAGGGGTGAGGGGGGCAGGGATCTGGCTGGTTAAACATCGGAATGCTTCTTACGTGGAAAAAAAAATGAGGCTCATAATTAGACAAATGTATCTACATGGCTGAGACATGGGGATTTATGAGCTCAGAGTGAGGGGGAGGGCTTCTTAGACGATGAAGAGAAAAAGACTATTTAAAAGGCATGACCCCAGGGCATTAGCACGTCTTTCAGGGCGAAACTGAGAACACAGAGCACCTTAGGGATGAGCCAATCTGTCGGCCACCTTAATCTACAAATGAGGATGCAGAGACCCGAGCCAGTAGGTGAGGTGTTTCAGGTTATTAGTGTAGATGGATGAAAACCCAGGGCTTCTGACCCCACGCTGGTGCTGCTTCTGGAACCTGATGGAGGGGGTCATACTAGCTGCAGAGAGAGGCTTTCATTGTCTGAAGATGTCGTTAATATAAACATGTCCTGAGGATGGTCTCCTCTGCTGACTTCATTGAAAACACACACACACACACACACACACACCCCACCCCCCAGCAAGGGAAACTGTATCCCTACATGGAGCCTATCCCGTAGCACGGCCTTGTTTGTAAAAACAGAACCCCCAGCAGAAGGGCAGAAAGGCAATCATCTCTCAAGAGATTTGGACACTTCCTTTGGACTGTGTTTCTTCGCCGTTTTGAAACATATTTTTAAAAAATACAATAGATCCGGAAACGAATTACAACCTAGACTGACAGCAAGCCCAAACAAAGAGTAGATAGGGAATAAAATAAAAATCATCCCTCGTGTGAAATAAAAGTAAAATGTAGCACATTGTTTCATCCACTGGGGTCTGCTGTGTGCCAGGCGCTGTCCTGGGAATGGAGAACCCAGCACAGGGAGCAAACAGACCAAAGCTCCTGCCCTCCAGGAGCCCCTATTCTAGAAGAAATGCATAGTTCTATACCCGTTACAATACTGTTCTTGAGATCCATCACCACCCCCCTGCCAGGCTCTGGTGGAAATTTAACTACATTGGAAAATTGATACTATCTCTGTTCACATATGGGTATAATTCTAATGAAGGTTGCTTTCTGGTTAACAGGGAGAAGAAAATGGCTTCCCAGACAGTACTGGAGATCCCCTTTCAGGTAAAGGATTGATTCTGCAGAGGTCTGGGCTTTTCTGATAACTGGCATGACAGAATTAAGGATAATTTGCAAATATGTTTATCATTAACTTTAAAAATCTGTATTAAAGGCTAGAGAAACTTTCCAACCACAGGCCCAGGGGAAGTGGAAGGAAATGGTAACCAGATTTCACAAAAGCCTTCAGAGTATTTTCTCCGAGCTGACCCTATTTGGCTTGTGAAGGGCACAGCCGGGTTCTCAATAGGAAAAGTTTAGGAGGGGGTAGCAGTCACAACAGAGCTGGGGGTCTTGGCATTGATGGAAAACTGCCAGGTGGAAGAAGGCAACGGGGCTAGGGCCAAGCAGGCCCCCGTGGGAAGGGCCAGCTCAGCCAGTCACTGCCTCCATCCCTTCTCTGTGCCTGGGGCGCTCTGTTAGCCAAGGAGCGCCTCCCGCACCGGCCATGTGCTTGTCCCCAGTCTGCCGCTGGTGTGTTTAACCAGAGAAACATTAAGATCTGCCTCCTTTCCCACTTGTTAATGTAAGTTGGAAACTTTGGCAGTCTTCAGATTTCTTATTAATTCATCATGGAGAAAATCTGGAGTGAGCATTAAAAGAAGCTACCAAAAGAATAACTAAAAAACATTAAAACCTCCCTAATGTTTTCTATACCTCTTAAAACACATTTTGAAGGACCTGAGTCATCAGGGTTTTGTTTCTTTCTTTCTTAGGGGGAGGGTGGTGGAACCTAAAACCCTCAGGATAATGGGTCACCAATCCTACCTAGACTGTGCCCACGTAACCATGGTGAAAATCAGAACATGTAGTGTATAATCAACTTTTTTCCTCCCTTAGAAACATGATGTGAGCAGTACCTGGGTGGCTCAGTCGGTTAACATCCCACTCTTGATCTCAGCTCAGGTCTCAATCTCAGCGTCATGAGTTCAAGCCCTGCATTGGGCTCTACTTAAAAAAAAAGAAAAGAGAAAGAAAGAGAGAGAGAGAGAGAAAGGAAGAAAGAAAGGAAGGAAGAAAGAAAGAAAAAAGGTGTTAGCCGCAGTTATCTCTAGGTGGTGAGACTCTAGGTGATTTTTTTTTCATTCAGTAGATTTTTATTTATTAAAGACCTACTATGTGAGTCCCAGACAGAAGTACAGCTCTGGGAGACAGAAGTTGGGATCCTGGTTCCAGTCCAGCCACTACCCTGCTGTGATTAGAGAAGTCAAAGGGGAAACTGAGCCAGCTGAATTTGTACTGGAGCCTTCCCAGCAGGTTTCACGGTACAGGCCTAAGGTCAGGGTCCCATCTGGACACCCTGTTGGAACTTGCCTTCCCTGGACCACACCCCGCCCCCCACCGGAGGCTAGGACTGCTGGCCAGTAATTATCTCTCTTCCACAAATGCTGCAGCCGACAAGCTCAAATTAGAAGCACTAGCTGGGTGATGTGAGGAGGAGAAAGCATCTTTGCTCACAAGCAGTCAATTTTTGTTTTCTTTCCACTCTCCTGTATTTTTTAAATATCCACATGAGTGGATATCAGAAAAAAATCTCTCCCCCCAAACTTTTAACCTGTATATACAAATTTGTATATAACAAATGATCAGATGTAGGCAAATATATATAACGCGTGATAAAATAACTAAGGAAATCCATAAAAGGCTAACTGATCGACCTCAGTGGTAAGAGCATGAATTTTTTTCCCCTATGCTCATCTGAATTTTCAGATTTTCTGCAGTAAGCACATATTTCTTTTCTTTTTTTTTTTTTAAGATTTTATTTATTTGACAGAGATACAGCAAGAGAGAGAGAGCACAAGCAGGGGGAGCAGCAGAGGGAGAGGGAGAAGCAGGCTTCCCGCCGAGCAGAGAGCCCGACACGGGGCTCCATCCCAGGACCCTGGGATCATGACCTGAGCCGAAGGCAGTGGCTTAACCAACTGAGCCACCCAGGCGCCCCTTTCTTTTCTAATACAAAAAAAACAAACCTGTATTTAAACTTTTAAAAGACTAACACCCTACATAGTAATGTGGAATGTGAGCTAAAATGAAAATGGATAAAGTAAGTTGTTTAGGAATATCTATAAACCTGGATGATTTAAGGTGGTTGTTGACTAATAGATTAAATTTAATCAAATTTCAGTCATCTCTTAAAAAATTTTACCTGTGTCAAAATGAAATGGAAGACTTTTGAAGAGAATAAACTTTTCACAGTGATAGGTAAAATGATTGTGTGCATATGGTGCTATTGAAGTCAATACCTTTTGCACCCGACATGCTACCCTGCACACAAGAGTGAGTGTTTGGTTGGATTTTTGTTTTTGTTTTTGTTTTTCATAAACAAGGAGATGAGAGACACTTAATGGCTTTGCTCTTGAGTAAACTGGCAAAAGCTGATCTGTATATTTTGAGTGAGAGTAGCAACTTAAGTAAGCTTTATCGTTGTACTTACAAACACTAATTTAGCACTTACTATATACCAGGCCCTGTTGTAAGCACTTTAAAGAGCTGCTTAGAAAAAGTGCACATGACAGCTCTGAACTTATTTTCCTCACAAGATGGAGGTTACAGAAGTGATGCTGGGTCACGTGGCTGGTGCTGGGTCGCAGGAGTCCTAAGTGGGACTCAAGCCTGGGGCCTGGCCAGGAGCTCAATCCCAACCACCAAACCAGGCTGCCTCTCTACTGGTCGGATGCATTGCCCGGGTAGTACACACATTGAATGCTTGAGTGTCATACAGGGGGGTGAGGGTCAGCCTTCTCAGATACAGTCTTAACCTGGAACAAAGCCAAAGCCCACCCTCACACCCCCGCCCTCAGAGTCAGTCTGAATCACGGTAGTACCTTTCACAAAAAGCTCGCTACTTTCCCTGGATCAGGCCCTCAGGCCCTGAACTCAGAGCCTGGATTTTATTAAATTTTTGTCTTTGAAAACTTTAGTTATCTGTGATCCAGCTTATAGCTGGTTAAAATAAGCAATGTGGGGACAATGGAAGGCACTGCCACAGAGGGAGGGATTAGACAGACATGGGAAATGACAGCCGACAGTTTGTAAGCAAGGAAAGAAAGAGAAATACAAATCAGAATCAGCTCCCCCTGGAAAAGCAAAGGCCCCTCTTCATGGAACCAGGGAGTACAGAAGCAAACGCCCATGGGAGGCAGAGCATAAGAAAGAAGACTGTGTGGTACCCCTGATTAATAGAATAATGCACCTGCTCTCCACACTTGGCCAGCTTTTCAAGGATGATTTTCTGACAACCTTGCATAATTCAGCGTTTGCCCAACCTAAACCTAATTTCCCCACAGAAATGCAGGTAAAATAGGATTGTTGCTTTTGTTTCAAATTAGGTCCATTACATGACACTTCATTCATATGTTTGTGTCACGTAATTTCAGAATCCAAATTCACATGGAATTCTATGCTGAATTTTTACCTGGGTCCTTCCTGACCTAAATTGGTTTTTTTTTTTTTCTTCTTAAAGTGCCCTCTACACTCCAGCTTTGTTTGATGACAAAATCAAGGCACAGCGTGATCTACTAGCCCAGATCCTTCCAATTTGTCAGTTAGACTCCCCACAGCTGCTGCCAACTTGATGTCTCCCTAAAAGGGTGTTTTAGAGAGAGAGAGAGAGAGAGAATGAAATTGCATTGTTTTTCCCTTTGGTTAAGAGATCAAACGCCCACCAAAAGCCCTTGGGTTAGTTTCTTGGGAGATAAAAATAGTTCTTCATCATTTTCCAGCTCAAAGCATATAAACTACCTCCGATGAATAATGTGGTGTGTGTGTGTGTGTGTGTGCGCGCGCACCCCAGTGATTTATCAAAGCCATAAACTGACATTTTAAATATATTTCCAACCACACTGGAAACCACACACACATAGAAAAAAGCATGAGTTTATACCCTTAACACACATAACTGCAGAAGTATTTGACTCTACTCTCACACTTTGTTGGTATTTTGCAGGCTCCAAATCTGATAATTTATAGACACCTAGGATAGAGTTATTTTATTTCAGGACCACAATATTTTGCTATTTGCTAAGTTGCCAATAAAAAAATGTTTACTATTTAATTGTTTGAATTAACTCAAGACCTAGTTATCCTGGGGAACATTATTATAAATGATCTAAGAGCTCACAGTGGTCCTGAGCACACTGGAGGGAAACACCCGTGTGGTAATAGTTCTCGAAAAGCCAGAGTGTACAAGATAAAACGGCACCTACCCTGCAGGGAGACACATTAAGTCAATCTGTGATCCACTGCCAACATCTGACTGGAGCCAATTTCTAGGCTCAAGTAATCATGACCTTTCTGAATCCTGAGTCTTGTTCCAGTTTACAATTAACTGTTAATTGAACAGTATTTTAAAACCCGCCAGCCCCAAACCGGAGTTAGACACTGCGCCGTTGGATGCGAGCTGTTTCTTACCGTTGTTTTAAGTGACATAGCCACACCTGGAGGGAGAACATTCTAGAATCCCGAAACACTTCTTTAAAGTCTATGTAAATGTGTGTGTGTGAGAGAGGATGAAGAGCAGGGGGAGAGGACAGAAAACACCCCATAGGAAAACCCACTCATCTACTGTTGAGTGTGGGGACATGTTATCTGTTCAAAGACTTAATCACTGAACAGACACACCATCTCTCAAAAGTAGCTCTGATTCCAAAATGTAATTATGGCAGGCCCTTCTGACTAAGAACTTACTCTGTGGATGTCTTTAAGGCAATGGTTTTCAACCCTGGCTGCATTTTAGAATTCCCAGGGGAGCCTTTAAAAATTCCCATGTCCCTCTTGCACCCCAGGACCAATTAAATAAGGATTTCAGTGGGTGGGGCCAGAGGGTTGGGGGTGTGGGCAGGGTTCTGGGGGAGGAGGAGTTCCATCTTGTGGCCAAGGTTGAGAACTACCGCTTTAAAAAGGGCTGTTGGTTGTGCTTCTTTACCCACAGCTATTAATCCTTTGTGGCCTGCCCACCATGCCGTGGGTTGAGGCTTTAATGGATGATCTCATTCAATCCTTGCAAC